GCACTCAACACCGAGTCTGGCCCAGAACTGTCACTCAAAAAAATGCTAGATTATGGTTACTCTTTATCATAGATATTTTCAAATCAGCAGAAGACTCCCAAATCTATACTTTTGGGTCCTCATCCATCTCTAGGACAGCCCACCTCCCTCATTTCCACCTGCCTTTAGACAACTCCACCAAGATGTCTCCTAGACATGTCAAACTCAACAAGTCTAAAATTTAAAAATTGTCTTTTCCTCTAAACCCACCTGCCCTCCTGATTTCACTAGTTTTGTCAAGGGCACCACTATTTGTCTCCAGTCACTCAAACTCATAGCCTAAGAGGCATCCCCAACTCTTAGTTCTAATTTACCCATATTCAATCAATTACCAAGTCTTCTCTAGTCTATGTTTCTCAGATCTCTCCATTCATAAGACCCTCAGGCCTTCATGACCTTTTAGGCCTAGACTATAGCCTCCTAACTGGGTTCCCTGCACACAGCCCATCTCCTTTACAATCTACCTTCCATACCACTGACAAAATGATATTCTGAAAAAACAGGCTTAACTATGTCACCCCCTGCTCCAGAAGGTTCAGTAGCTTCCTGCTGCTTCTAGGATAAAATGCAAGTTTTTCTGTTTAGTATTTAAAGCCCTTTCGATCTATCTCTGGCCATCCTTCCATGACTACTTATTACTCCCCCACCCCCACCCCATACTCTTAAGTTCTAAGCAAACTGGCCTACATACAATTCCCCTATACAACATTCTGTCTCTCACCTCCCCTCCTTTGCCCAGGCAGCCAACTCAGTGCATAGAATTATATCCTTCCTCACCTCTGTCGGAACCCCTAGGTCCCTTAAAGGATCCTTCAAGAATCACCTCCTTCAAGAAGCCTTTCCTGATTTCTCCAGTTTTTAGTGTACTTTGTATTTAATTTATATACATCCTGCATTTATTTATCTGTGTTAAGTAACAATATATATTAATTGAGGGCAGGGACCGGTTCATTTTTTGTCTCTGTATCTCCAGAGCCCAGTACAGTGCCTTGCACATTGCACACTTAATAAATATTGACTGACTGAAAGGGTCACCTCATTCAGAGGCTTGAAGGAGGCAAAAGGTTTACTTTGTGGCAAGTGAAAAGGGTCAGTTTGATTTCCCTGTCTCCCTGACCCCAAAAAGGGTTGTCTCTGACAGGACATAGTGAGGCAAAAAAAAAAAAGAAGGAAATCTTAATTGTGTTTTTTCATAAATGGAGAGGCCCCAACTCCTGTCATAAAAAGATCTTATCCCCTTGAGCACTCTCAGCTCCTCCCCTCCTCCGCTTTCTCTCACTGTCTGTATCTTAGATTTCCTGTGACACCCTGCAGACATTGAAAATCAACTTGTGGATCCCCTCCTCCACTATCTCCCAGCTCCAGCTGAGGGGGGGGGTGGAATGGCCCTTGCCCTGGCCCTGGCCCTGGCCCTACTCCTATCCCTAGCTCAGGCTACAGATCCCGGCCTAAGTCCCAGCCCCAACCCCCACCTCAAGTCCCAACCCCCACCTCAAGTCCCATCTGCATAAACTTAATTCTCTCTCACCCTCTTTCAGCCTTGGGACAGTCCGGGACAGATTAAGCCTTTGTCAGATACACCCAGGAAAGGAAGGGCCAGATGGGACAGGGGACAAGTGGTGTCAGATAACCAGGCAGGATGAAGGAAAGCCACAAACCAAGTCCAGCCCAATACATATGGCTTTGGGGAAGGGGGGGGGGGATTCTGAGAAAGGGGAATTATGGGGGGAGGAGGGAAAATGGGGGGGGATGTTTGGAGGAGGAACCAGAACAGAATCATTCAACAAAACACTTCACCCTAAAAATCCACAGGCTCAATCTTTCTTTGTGTCTGTTCCAGAGAGACCATGCGTGGGGGGGGGGGGTGAGATTTGGCCGGGGGGGGGAGGGGGAGGGGGGAGTAGGAGAGGTCAAGGTGAACACAGTTTAGGAGAGTTTAATCGGAGAAGGGCCCTGCCTCAGGGGAATCCACAGAGGGACCCCTCCCCTCACCCAGCCTGGCCCTTAGTTTAAAAAAAAAAATCAGGCCAGATGGGCCTATAGTGCAATCCCTACCACAATGGGAAATCTCTAACTTTAATTTTTTAATGGGGGTGGGAGGAACTATAGGTTTTAGAGTTAGAAGGAACCTTAGATATCAACTAGTTCCAACCCTCTCATTTTATAGAGGAAAACTAATGCCAGGAGAGGTGAAACCAATTGCCCAAGATCACTAGTAGAGCAGAGGTAGGACTGGAACTCAGGTCCCTCTGACTCCAAATTCAGTATTTCTTTCTACATTACACCATGATCTATATACTGGGAAGCCTCAGGGCATGGTTCCCTCTCAGTTGAGGCGGGGGAATGCCCTCCACATCTTCAAAAATTGTCATCTAACAAATTAACTCTAAGGGAATCCCCCACACCCCCCCATACTGAATTTATAGCAGTAGGGTTCACCTAAAATAATTGAAAATGAGGAAGAGTGAGAGATCTGGGCAGGCAGGCACCTGGAAACTTAAAGAGGAAGGCGAATGGGTGGCTTTTTCCTCCAACTCCGATCTGTTTATCTTTAAAACGTGCCTGATTTTTTTCTCTCGGGGAATTGAAGCCTCTCATCCCTTCGGAAACTCACAGTCTCTTAGGGGTGTGTCTGTTTTGTTTGCAGATTTATGGGAGCTTAGGTGAGTCCCGGACAGGAGGTAGAGTCCGCTGGCTCACTAGCGTGTGCGCGCGCTCGCTCTCTCTCTCCTCCCTCCCAGTAAACCAGCTCTCCAGAGGATTGGCCTCTCCTATCCTCCCTTTGGGGGAGTTTATTCATTCCTGAGAGTAGGAGCTAGGTTGGGGGTGGGGTGGGGTAGCTTTCATTTTGGCCTTGGTATCCTTAACTAAGAAGGCTGTGCCCCCCCCCCCTTTCCCCGGGCCTGGGGTCTTGTACTGGGAGGTAGGGGGAGGAATTTTCTCTCCCAAGGCCAGGCATGGGCTGCCTGACATCCTGGGGCCTGTTGGGGTCTCAAAGACCAGGCCCAACCCGTTCCGAAGGTCTGGTGGAAAGCGAAGTGGGGTGGGGCAAGGGAGGTCAGGCTAAAGACAGGTTTGAAAGGGTCCTAAAATCTGAGGGCAGGGAGCCTACCCCAGGGATCCCTCATTCCAAGCTGGGAATCCAGGCCTGAAGCCCCCTCCCCTCCCCCAGCCCAGCCCCTGGTAAGAGGCAGACCAGATGGGAGGTAAATAGTGCGTTTATAAGCATTTACCACAGATGGACTGCCCTCACCGCAGCCTGCAACCATCTCCCTTACAGGGTATCTGGGAGAGGGGACAACACTGTTTCCTCAGAGCTGCGAAGAAGGGGGCGGGGGGAGGCAGCCTGCTGAATCCCCTTTCCCTCCCCGAATTATCCTCCCTCCATCCTCCCAACCAGGCAGCTCCAGCATCTCCCTCGCCAGCCTGCTCGCCAGCCTTCCCACTGCCTCTCCCCTCCCCATCCCACAGCCCCTACCCCCACCCCCCTCCTTCGCCCGCGGAGGGCTGGGAGGAGGGACAAGTGCACTTTTAGTAACGACAAAATCAATTGTCTATGAAGATTCTACTCTCAGGCAGATGGTGCAAAGACTGAGGGAGTTACTAGTTAGGAAGACCCACATTAAACCCCAGCCCCCCGGAGAAGAAAAAAGAGGATGGGGAGGGATGGCGTGGAAAGGTGGGGGGGGTGCGATGTCCGCATATAAAACGTGAATCTCTTAATTTCTCCGACTCAAAGTTCAAAGATTTGAGCTCTTGGGGCGGCCCCTGCATCACCCCCACCCCCAAACCCTCCTTAGAACAATGAGGTCCCAGTGGGGGAGCCTCCGGCTCTTTCCCCAGGGCAGCAGCCCGAGGGGCCCGAGGTGGGAGGGAGAAGCAACACTCCCCTACCTCCGCCCCCGCCTGCACCCTAACTGGCCCCCGCCCCAGCCAAACCGGGCGCTAGGAGGCCCCACCCCTCCCCCACTCCCTGGGTAGGCAGCCCGAGGGGTGAGGGGGGGATGGAGGGGTCAGATGCCCCCTCCCTGCCAGCCTCATCCCCTCTCCTCAGACCAAGGCTGAGAGCGATGAGGGGGTGGACCCGTCCCCATCCGCACCCCAGGACCGTCCGGCCCCGCCCGCCCCGCCCCGCCCGGGGGCGCCTCCTGCGCCAGTTTGCATCGCGCCGGGCCGCCCCCGCCCGTCCACCCAGGGCCAGTCCCGGGTGGGGTCGGGGCGTTCCTGCCCTTGCCCGTGCCCCAGCTCCAGCTCCAGCCCCTACTCCCTGGCCCGGGCTCGTCGCACCGCCCCCCTCCCCCAGTCTGCGGGGCCTCGTCCCAGAGCCTAGGAGAAGAGGGGCGCCCCTGGGAAGACTCCCTCTCCTCAGGCCACTGCAACCCCCGTAGCAGCCAGGGGGCAGGGGGCGGTGGCACTAGCTAGGAGCTCCCGCCCGGGGCTCGCTCGCCAGCCCGCTCGGGACAGCCTGCTTGCTAGGGGTGGGATGGTCTGGCTCCCGGAGCAGCCGCCTGCTGGAAGGGGGAGGGGGGAAGAAAAAGGAGGAGGAAGAAGAGGAGGAGGAAGAAGAAGAGGAGGAAGGGGGAGGGGGAGGAGGAGGAGGACAGAACATGCCCGGGTGAGCACCCGGGACAGCCCGCGCTGCTGGGGAGAGAGGCGCGGGGGGAGGACTCGAAGCCTTCCTCGCTGCCTCCTGCTCCCGGGACAGCCCGCTCGCTACATGGAGAGCCGGCCGGGGCGGGTCTGCGCCGCCTGGGCCATCCCGTCGGGAACCAAAGGGTACCGAAGGGAGGGAAGGGGTCCCCTGCCTGGGATGGGGAGACACTGCGGGATCAGACTGGGCTGTGGGTAGGTGGAGAGAGATGACCACTCAGACACAAGCAGGGCTAGGACAGACGGACAGCACTCAGACAGACAGACAAGACACACGCGGACACTGAGGGGAGGCGCGGGCGCGCACTGACCGTTCCAGTTTTCACCGGCACATACACCACTTGACCCATCTTCGGCTCCCTGCTGGTCCCCAGCCGAAAGCCCTTGGAGCGGACCCAAAACTGGAACTTGCCTTTCTCCCCTGATGAGGGGCCGCTGTTGCCGGCACCCGTGGTCCCGCTGCCCCCGCCTTGCAGGACCTCGGCGATCCGCTGGTATTTGCTACGAGTGACCGTCTTGGTCTTGGCTGAGTCTCCGTAGGTCCGGAGACACCAGTCCCGGAACTGGCGCCCCAGCTCCGTGTCCCCGGGGCTGCGGTCCCAACCCCCCCGCAGGAGCAGTGTCGGCTTCGGCATCCTCGGGGCCCTTGGGGGCGGGCAGAGAGCGGAGCTGGCCGGCCGGCCGGCCCGGACTAAGGAGGGAGCGACGGGCGTAGACTAACGCTGGGGCTGGGACTGAGACTGGGTCTGGGGAGCGGCTGCCCCGTCCCGAGATGCGGCGGCGGCGGCGGCAGTGGCGGCGACCTCGGCGGCCGGGACGCGCGGGGCTGCAGCAGGCAGGGTCCCTCCCGCTCCTCCTGCGCTCCCGCGGTGGCGGCGGCGGCTCTTGCTCCTGCTCCTGCTCCCGCTCCTGCTCCGCCTCCTCCTCCCCCCCGGCCGGGATGCAGGAGGGGATGGAGCAGTCGGGACCGGGAGGTGCAAAGGGGGCGGGCGAGTCCCCTCCCCGGGAGGGGCCGCCCCGCAGCCTGTGAGGGGGAGCCCGGGGCGGGTGAGGGAGACCGAGCGAGACACCGGCGGCGCCAGCGGTGGCTGCTGTCAGGCTAGCGGGCTGCTCGTCTCCGTCCTCCTCCTCCTCCTCCTCTTCTTCCTCCTCCTCGTCGTCCTTGTCCTAGCCGCCTCCTCCACGCAGCGGGATCCCACCTGTTAGAGCCGCGTAGCTTCCCTCCCCCTCCCGGCCCCAGGGCAAAGGAGGCTGGGCTTCCCCCCCCCCAGTCCCTGGCCCCAGGGGGCGCAGGGGGCCGGACTTCCCACCGCCCCAGCCGGGGCCGCCAGGAGCGCAGGGGGCCGGGCTTCCAGTGTCCGGGCCGAGGCCGCAGGGGACCAAGTTTCCCCCTGTCCCGGCCCCGGTCTCAGTCCCTCAGGCCTCAGAAGCCGAGTTTCCCCCTGGCCTTGGCCCCGGCCCGGCCCCTGGGGCCTCCCTTCAGAGGCCCAGCTCCGCCTTGTCCCAGGCCGGTTAGGGTTGAGACTGGGCCCCCTTCTCGCTGTTTCTCTGCTTGACCCCAACCCTGGCCGCTGGACTGCAAGTCTCCACGTCCCCTCCCCTCCTCTCCCCACTGCCCAAGCTGGGGCCCGCATAGGGCGGGGCCTGCCTCTTCTCCCCTAACAGTCCCCCTCCTCCTCCCCACAGGGCCTGGGGGCAGGTTGGGCAGGCTGCCTCTCCTACAGTCTCCAACCTCTCTGGACAGCTTTGGGGCCTGAGGCAGGAACTAAGTTGAGTCGGAGAGACTTCTCCCAGTTAGAGGGAAAAAGATGAATTGGGGAGGGGGGACCAAGAGCAGTGGGTTTCGTGGGAGCCCCAAACTCTTTATCTCCAGACCTCCACCTTCACTTGAAGATCCCCAGAGAATTATACCCAATTGTCTACCTCTAAGAAAAACTTAATTCTGGGGGGAGGGCTGTGAAATAAGATGAAATGTTCTAGTCCCTGCTCTCTCCTGAACAGATGGTCTTGTGGGGGGAATGGAGGAGAAGCCCCCAGGTTGGGTCTGCCTTCCCAAACAAGGAAAAACCTCAAGAGAGATTTCAGATTTAGGATTTAGAGCTGAAATGGAATTTAGAGATCATCTAGTCAAAATATTCCATTTTTAAAATGAGGAAACTGAGGCCTAACGAAACAAATGATTTGCCCAAGGTCACATAGCTGGTAAGAGAGCTAGCATCTCTTCCACTATCAAGTCCATGGCTCTTTCCACTAAGACCCTTTCTATACCCTTTAACCTGGGCATTCAAGTATTTGTAGAGAACTGACCTTGGCTACTTTGCCACCCCCAGCAGGGACAATCCTCTTTGCTCAAAGAAATTACGGGCATAAATAAAGGTTACTGCTACATTCTGCCTGATTTCGGCTCTGTCTTCCAACCAGGTCATCAAGAAACACAGGCCTTCATTTCTAGCCTGCCTCAGGGGGTTCCTCCCACATTTCGTGTGCTGACTCTGTCAGATTGCCCCAGGCCAGCTCCTCCACCAACTTTGGTGGAAATAAAAAGTCCTAGACTCTGGCCCATACAGAACCATTTTCTATCACCAGAAATGTAGGCCTCAGGCCCCATTTCCTGCTCCCTCACTCTGCAGAAGTTTTTCCCCTTGGCCTCAGCTAGGATTGGCTAATGTTCTCCAATTTTTCTTTGCGTTGAAGGTAGAGGGAATTGTTTTTAAATAGTTGAACATTTCCATGTTTTTTTTCTATATGCCAATGGCTCTGCAAATATGAAATCTGAGTCCTTAATTTTCCTAACACTCTCCTTTGGTTTGAAAATTGGTGTTCCCATTTCACAGAGGAAGAAACTGTGGCAGATACTACATTCATTTCAACAAGACACTGTGACCAGGGCACTGAGTGCTATACAAACTTGTTAGAAAGACAGCTTTTGCCCTCAAGAGCTTACAGTCTAGTAGGTAAGATGAAACAAGAGCACGTATCCCAGTGATACAATACAATACAATATGATACAACACAACAAACATTCATGTTACCTACTTTATACAAGGCACTAAACTAAGGACTGGGGATGCATATGTAGCACCCTTTCTGGAACTACTTCCCCAACTTGTTCTCCCATGGGCTAGAGCTGGGTTCCCAGATAGTAGCTGACTACTATTCTCAAGGTTTTAAGAATAATCTGAGGAGTTGTGTTTTCAGTACTGCTGCTCATGAGCCCCCATCAGTGTACTTTCCACTAAAATCAGCCAGACTCAGCTTCTAAGTAAAAAGTATTTGCTAAAAGGGTATAACAAGAACAATAGCTACAAAAAACAATCCCCCAGAAGTCTAACGTATACACTCCTACAAATACTCACTGTGTTCATAGAGAGACTGGACAAAAATTTAAAGTATTAAAGCATATGTGCAGAGAACACGTGTGGCAAAGGTGTAACACACACCATTCCTAGCTACTAGAAGTCACTTTCTCCCTTCATCCTTGTGAAGTTCCCCTCGGGTGCAGCTCTCTGATGGCCTCTCAGGGTAAATACCTTTGTAGATTCCCTAACTGTAACTTCTTTCTAACATGAATGGCCATGCTCCCTAAAGCCACCTTTCTTTGAATTTCTATTCTACTGACTGGATGTGTGGTCCCCTACTGGTCCAATCTATTTGATTCCAGCAGGCCAAGCTGAGCTATTGATCCAATCTCTCCAATGACATGGTCAATATGGTTGGGGGAGAGAGGAAAGAAAACTCAAGAAACTCTTCTCTTCTTCCCAAGAATGATTCCCTCTTGGGAGCATGGCTGCAATTTGCAACTCTTCTATCACTAGACTTGATCACTAGTTTGCTGTTTTTATACCTAGCTCAAGAGATAGAATTTGATCTTCTCAACTAATCACAAGATGTTTCCTCTGTGCTATCATCTGCTTTCCATCCAGTGACCAAAACTTTAGAATCCTCTGAAATTGATTAATGACTTATTCATACCTAGCTTATACTTTCAATCTATTGGAGGGGAAGTATCTGGGCTTTCTGTAATTAGCTTGGGGGGCAGGGGGAATGGAACCTCATCCTTACACATAAAATAAACCATGATCTCAAAAAACTCATACTATGTAGGGGAACACGAGTGCAGAGATAAGTCAATACAAAATTACAAAAAGTAACTTCAAGAGTGTATAAACACTAAAAACTGGGAAGAATCAGGTAAGGCCTCCTGGAAAAGTTAATTCCTACATTACTTTAAAGAAAACTAAGATTTGATGAGGCCAAAGAGAAGACAATAAGTTAATTTGAGGTAAAAACTCAATTCAATTTAATTCATTTCAGCAAACATTTATTTAAAACCTTCTGTGTCCTGAGCCTTAAGCTTAGATGTGTCAGAGATACAAAAATGAAGAAAACAAGATCTCTCTCTAGATGAGCTTACAATTAGTAGAGATGACAGGTAAACTGGTCTATTAAAAATACTGCTAGATTTGGAGTCAAAGAGACTTGGGTTCAAATCTTGATTCCCATGATCGTTACTTGTGTGACCCTGGACAAATAACTTAGTTTCTCAGAGTCTCAGTTTCTTCATTTGTAAAATGCAATACTTGTGCTAACAGAGTAGAGGTGAGGAATATAGGAGGGATCTATAATTTTTTTTTCTGATGGAAAACTTAGCTACTAAAACTTAGCAAAGAAGTCCTAAGGAGACTTATGAGACCCAGAGGCAGGTTTCAAAACCAGGTATTCCTGACTCTATATCCTTATAGCCCATTGCCTCTGTAGTGGAGAAAGCAGTATATAAATAAGACACAATTATGACAGGTAGCCTAGTATTGTCACAAGAGCCTTGGTTCTTGGGTAAGAAGATCTGGGTTTGAGTATATACATGACTCAATACAACATAGATCTTACTCTCATGGAGCTTTTGGTCTAATGGAGAAAGGAGAAAATAAACAAACAAACAAAAAGAACAGAAGAAAATGAGACGAAGTCCATTATAAAAGTTCATCAAGAAAAGCTGCTGCCAAATGAAAAGGTCATAGGTAAAATGCTGCCTTCCACCAGCTGCCTATCACCTGTGTGACCTTGGGCCAGGCATTTAAACCTCTCTGAGCCTCAATTTCTTCAGCCTTGGAACACGGATAATGACATTTGTACTATAAATCTCACAACATTATTATTATTAGGGGGAAAAGGCACCACAGGAACCTCAAAGTGCTTCAGAAATGTAAGCTATTATTCAATCAATCAACAAATATTTATTAATCAGCTACTATATACCAGACCCTGTGCTGGACAGTAGAGATAGAAAGACAAGAGTAAAACAATCTCTGTCCTGAGAGAACTTACATTCTTTCAGAAGAAACAATACGTATTCATATTAGGAGATACAAAATATTTATAAAGTAAATACAAAGTAATTTCTTTATTATCAAACACCTAAAACAGATTCAGATAGCATGGTGCAGTAGAGAGAATATTGGATGTGGAGTGAGAAGTTACTCAGTCCTTTTAAGTCACAACTGACTCTTTGTGATCCCATTTGGGGTTTTCTTGACAAAGATACTGGAGTGGTTTGCTACCTCATTTTACAGATGAGGAAACTGAGGCAAATAGTGTTTAAGTGACTTGTCCAGGGTCATACAGCTAGTAAGTGTCTGATTCCAGATTTGAACTCAAGAAGATGAGTCTTCCTGACTCCAGGCCCAGCACTCTATCCACTGTACCACTTAGCTACCCTACAACTAAGTTGTTAAGTCTTTTTCAAGTAG